TACAAGCTTCATTAAGAATCGTCATAATACACACTCACCCACATGCACACACCCACACACCACACACTAATCTAGTTTTCCACATGCTTCTTTGACTGATTGTTCCAACCACATGCACTGAATGACTGTGCTGATTAAATTCTGTGATCTTTTCTCCACATTTAATTCATCTTGTCAGGTATGGAAGACCAATGGCTTTGTTTCAAAAGGGGGTGGGGGGCACACAGGGCTTTGTTCCTTGACCTTTCATTCTGAGGGAAATACTGAAACACTGAAACACCCCCATCTAGCTGGCCAACATTTCTAATTAATTTCTACTTCATGAGGGAGAGCCCCGTTTCTCCTCTGCCCTGGACAACTGTTGGAGACATGGCCTCCCTGCCTCTGTGGATCCCCACACACAGCCTGTGCAGTGTCCCCCAGTTTCCAGGCTGGTGATTGCACAAACGTGTGTGATGCTCCGGTGAATAATTTATACCAGGCAGGAGGTGACAAGGGAAACACGCCCATTTTGTCTCAAATGCCATGAAGGCACGGAGACAGAGGCAGGCTGCAGGGTGAGGGGAGCCAGCTGACGGGACCCCCGTCCGTCTAGGAGAGAGGATGCCGCTGTAAAGAAAATGAAATGTAATGAGATCCTCTATCATGCATAATTCATAGGTGCAAACACGACTGCATAAAAAGCCATGATTTTAACAAGGCGAGTCTGCAATCATGCACATTATCTTCCCAGAGGAACTTTATATAATATTGGTCAAAAAGGAGAGGCTGCTGAATGCTGCCTCCAAATAGAGCTGACAGGTTTTCAAATGCAGCAACATTTACTTTAATGTACAGTGCCTGTGAAAGAAACAATTTCTATCTACACCTGCAAATGCTGCTTAGCCCAAAATTTACCTTAAACCATTTGCTATCTCTTCTTTAAATGAAAAAACAAAACAAACAAAAAAAAAAAAACGCAGAAAAATCAAATGGAAATTTACATGGATAAACCCAACTCCGATGCATGAGCAGTGTTTACTGAATGTTGTGAGGTCAGGGTTAAGTTGGACCTGGCAGGTATCGCCAGTCTTCTGGGACAAAAGTTTAGATGAAGACGGAGGCAACGAAGAGGCTTTAAAAAAACGATAACATGTTGGCTATTGTCAACATAAAATTTAATTTGGCTGTGTTGTAAGAGCAAATATTGTAATTCAGCTTTCCAGACCGGTTTAGAGGCTAATGCATGCCTGATTTGAAATGGTGCTTAACACGTGGGGCTTTTAGTCCGGGGGGATTAGGAAAAGAATGTTGATTAAAGTTCGGCATGTTTTCGGTTTATCAGCACCCAACCCTGAAGATGCCTTAGCTTGGAAAGAATTGGCCCAATTGGACAGTCCTTTGTCCACACTTAGGAAGTGCACAGAAATCCAGGGGGTACACAGGAGGGGTCAGAGCATATGTAACACATGCAAAATAGAGACCTGTGCAGGCCCATTTGCCTGACTTCAGTTGTGTAACATCAATATTTGAAAAGCAAAGCAAAGTAGCTCTGTTGCATCCAGTTACAGTTTTGTGACTCCAGGGTTTGGCCGAAGAAATCAGGGAGTGTGGAAAAGGTTGGCATCTTGGTATCAAAAGGATTGTCACCTGAAGGATCTTTTTTTTTTTTTTTTTTTTTTTTTTTTTTTTTTTTTTTTTTTTTTTTTTTTTTTTTAAGGTTCCTCATTTAAGGAACAGAGAGATGCTATAAAAAACAGTAGGTTGAAGTAGCTTATTAGTAGATGCCAAGTAACCTATTCCATTTAAACACAATTGTTTTATTAGCCTCTGTTTCGCCACAACTCAGTTATGCTTCAGGTTTTGGCAATGTCTGAAAGACGTGGGCTCTGGGAGTTAGGTCATAATTTAGCTGTTCAATATGGAATTTTAGCTTTCTTTGTGACTCAGTGGCGGAACAAAGCAGTTCCATGCCCGGAGCTGGTCACAAAGATGATTCTTCCAAAATTCTAGGACTTCCACCCAGTTTCCAATGGTACATTCGGAGACTGAGTTTGACCATTTGCATTGTGTTGAATACTCTGATAAATCCCTGGTTCCATTGCTTTTGAAAGATGTCAGTAACCCATGTGGTATTTGGTCTCTGCCTGTCTTTCTAAAGTAAAAACTTTGCCCAAAGCTGCTGACCATTAGCAACCTAGACAGGGAATCCAATGTGAGTCTCTTCCTGTATGGCTGAGATGAGGTATCTCTCCAGGCACCCAGAACTAACCAACTAGTTATACTTGTTGAGCCCTAACAACAGAGTTTAATACTCCACTGCTTTCTTCTGTTTCTTCTCTTCCTTCCTTCCTTTCTGGATCACAAAACAAAAACACCCACGGAGTGATACGTCTGCTTTTAATAAATCCAAATGTTCCGTGTGGCTGGCAAGAGACAGTTCCGGGTGACAGTGTCTGTTTCTGACTCTGCTGGGAGGTGAGGAGAGGCGATCACCATCTGCTCCCTCTACCTGACAGATGTGCGCTCTCCCGGCCCCTCCTGCCAGTTCAGCACGCTGCCGGGAGCTTGCTATTGTGAGGGATCAATTTTCAAGCACAGAAAGATTTTGTTTGCTTGTACACCTGTGCTCTAAAGGAAGTTTTCCTGTTGCTATGCCAGTTGGATGCCTTGCTGAATTCTTTAGCATATATAAAAATGCAAAGTGCCTGAAATGGGAATCAAACGATAACATTATTAGAATTCTCTCTTGGGGTTGGATGAGACATTCGGCTACGGTAGGAGGAGGATGTGCCTGGGTACTACAGTTCCTCCGGTCTAAATTTGTTTCCTATTTGTTTCCCTTCCGTGAAAGCAGCACACATGTGAAATATCAGATGGGACACAAAGCGTGTTGGAAATAAAGAGGGCGCAGAATGAGGCATGCATTTTAAAGCTCCATTGACTCAGCTTCAGGCCCAGGCAACGGGGAGAGCTGTGGTCGGTCTTCTGATTTCACATTTCTCTTGCTCCCTCCTCCAGTCAGGTAACCTCACAACAACAAGGCATGTCAATAGGAAGATGCACCCCCAAATCAAAGATGTTGGCTTTTCTCAAATTCTCCAAATGTTCAAGTAAAATCACTCTATGTCATCACTTGCTTTGATTTTACAAAAGTCATCTTATGACGCTAAATACATTGGTCTCTTGTGGAATTTGGTCTCTGCCTGTCTTTCTAAAGTAAATTTTTACTCCTCTCCTCTCTTTCTCTGTTCCAGCCTTTCTGACTTCCATGATGAGAAGTGGGATGGGGTCTGGAGGCAAGAAGGGAGAGGTTGGCTTTTAAGGTAAGAACTGCACCCCTTTCATTATAATGAGCAAAAGATGTACAGACATAAGTGGTGAGGAAGTTAGGGGATTTTTTTTTAATGATGTATTTTTATGGATGACACGTGAGCTAAAGAAACATTTTAGGAAGAATCTCAGATTTTGGGTTTTCTCGTAAAACGATGTAGAGCAATTAGAGTCATTTCATGTATCTAGAAAAAAAATAACTAGAAACCAGCATGGGTTCATTAAGAGTAACAATTTGGGGCAAATTTTACTTCTTTTTGGACAGTAATCTTATCTAATAAAAGGGTAATATGCAAATTAACTATCACTCCGTCACAAAGATGGCAGCACCCATAGCCAAGATGGTGGCGCCCAGTCCTCTCAGTCCCACCTGAGTTTCCCAGTCCTGGGGGGGTCGGCCTCTGAGAGCGGGCAGTGTGAGGGCCCTGGCAGAATGCTTATTTCACCGCTGTGCCCAGCTCGGACTGGGTCCCCGGAGCTGGAGCGGACAGGGACAGAGATGGCAGGCCCACCACCCGTGGAAGCAGTGCGGGTCCCTCCTGCCTCCCACAGAATCAGCACAGGTCCCTCCAGGATCCCACAGAAGTAGCATGGTTCCCATGGGCGTCTGCAGCTCACTTCCGCCTCCTGCAGAAGCTGCAAGGCTCCCATGGAAGCAGCGTAGCTCATGGCAATGTGCTTTGGTCCTGCCGGCTCCTGCAGAAACAGCAGGCAGCCTACTGTGTGCAATATCGCGCGATAGGCTACTAGTCATCTGGTAAGATTAAATCATAGTAATAGCATTTGGTAAGGCATCCTATAATGAAAAAACTTGACTCCTTGTTTATAAATTTGAAGGATTAGAAACAGTGAAAAACTTTGCCCAAAGCTGCTGACCCTTAGCAAGCTAGACAGAGAATCCAATGTGAGTCAGAGGCTCAATGTTCTCCCTTCTGTTCACAAGCTAAGAAAATTGGGGTTGGTTGTGAAAAATGCAAGGCTTTTATCAAATGTGTGTGTCACCTGACGCTGGGAAGCAGAATAGAGTTGGATGCAGAGTGAGTACTTAGGAAAATCATGACAAACAAATTCATGTGCTTGATTCTGGAAGTCCTCAACTCTCTTTTGTTTCCTTTACTGTGAAGAACTTTAAAAACAGAAATGCTTTCCCAGTGATTTTCTTAAGCGGGGTTTGGAATGTGGTTGAATGGAAGAGTTCTAAAGAGTGCCAAAGGGGAAAAAGGGACAGTATCTATTCTACAAATGTTTGAAGGTGTGGAGAGGTGAGCCACATTCCTTCCCTCTACCTGGAGAGGGTGTAATTGTCCTTGCCCTTCATCTACCCTGACTCTTTTGGGATTATATTTCCCCCACTTCCTGATTCTCTCTTCTAATTTAACTCTGTCTGTAGTGTCCCACGTTTGGGCTCCAGTTTATATTGAACCCCTTTCACGTCCTGTGTGGTTCAGGGTTCAAGTTCAGGGTTTGGGATCTGGAGGAGACCACACTCAAATGAAAGAGACTGGAAAATATTAATTTGGAAATACTGGGGGCCAGGCAGGAACCCAACTCAAGGGGAAGGACTTCACTTTGCTCTGGGTTTACAATCCCTTTTATTAAGACTTTGGGATCCACCCAAAGCTCTAGGCAGGCAATTCCAGTAATAGCTAATCAGCAATGATTTACATAAGACTAAAAGGTGGAGGTTGTTTAGCTACCATTGTCTCAACTAGACAGTGGGTGGTTGGCTCTGACCTTTCACAGCTTCAAGGTTGACCAGCCTTCAGGTTCCTTGTCCACATCTCTCTGCTAGTGAAAGCATTGGACTGCTTCCAAGATCTATCCTTGAAGCTGGAAGCCTCCAGCAGGTGGACCACACTGTGCCCACTTTCCAGATTAATTTTTACTCCTAGTAGATTCTAACTACTTGCCAGGAAGGAATGTGACATGTTTGGTTTAAACGTGTAAAAGCTGGGCTCATTTGCCGCAGATAGACTCCTGGTATTGAAACGATGTAGAAATGTGTGTTTCTAATACTTGTATTCATTCGAAAGGCAAGTTTCTATCAGTGGGCTTTGTGCTGACATATTTGCGAGTCAGGTTCATGGCCAGAGATGACAGAAAAACTTTTAAAGCTTCTGATTTTTTTGTAATTGCTCCTTCAACCTTTGCCAATTTATGGGAAACTTGAATTAAGATGAACCAGAGGATGGGCATTTGGTTTGTTTTAATATGTCAGATGACTAGTTCTTGGAAACCAACTAGTATTTACTTAGCTGCTTCCTCAGATCAAGGGCTTTGTACTTTCTTATTCATGTAACAAAATGCTTCAACACACTGAATTGTAATCTGGGAGGAAAAACAAGGACATTGTAGAGTGTTCAAGGAAAGGGAGAAGTCTGTGGTACGGTGCACTGAGCTAACAGGGATATGATCCTGAATGCACTTACCCTTGCTGAATGGGGCTGAGATCAATCGAAGCCAACCCTCATTAAAAAAACAACAGCGACATACAAATCTTCAAAATTGTTTGCTGGAAATAAAAATTTTTAGAGAAATCGATGAGTCAGTAAGTAATCTATTTCTTCCTCTTCTAAATTATCCTAATAAAATAAAATGAAAAACACCTTAGGATGTTTCCCAAAATTTACTTGATAGGATTGTGGTGGCATTAACATGAACAGCACTTTTTATATAGTACTAGAGGCCCTGAGCACTTTGGGGTGGGGGGTCCCTCAGCCTGGCATGTGCTCTCTCCCAGTCCAGAAGCCCTCAGGGGATGTCTGACCCACTGACAGACAGACATCCTTAGTGCTGCCACAGAGGCGGGAGAGACTCCTGCCACCACCAGTGGTGAGACAGCTTTTGGCTGAGTGATGCTCCCCCTATGGGATCATACTGACCACCTGCATTGAATGGCTTCCCCTTGGTGATCAGTACATGTCACAGCAACCATCATTCTGTTGTTTGGTTGATTTGCATATTAGCCTTTTATTATATAGGATAGTACATTTTATTTTATTTTTATTTAAAAATGTATTTTATTGATTTTTTACAGAGAGGAAGGGAGAGGAATAGAAAATTAGAAACATTGATCAGCTGCCTCCTGCACACCTTCCTACTGGGGATGTGCCCACAACCAACATACATGTCCTTGACCAGAATCAAACTTGGGACTTTTCAGTCAGCAGGTTGACTATCTATTTTTTTTTTAATATATATTTTATTGATTTTTCACAGAGAGGAAGGGAGAGAGATAGAGAGCTAGAAACGTCGATGAGAGAGAAACATTGACCAGCTGCCTCTTGCACCCCCGCCACCGGGGACGTGCCCACAACCAATGTACATGCCCTTGACTGGAATCAAACCTGGGACCTTTCAGTCCGCAGACCGACGCTCTACCACTGAGCCAAACCGGTTTCGGCAGGTTGACTATTGAGACAAACCGGTTAGGGAAGGATAGTACATTTTAGAACAACACTTTTCACATAGTATACTACATTCTGTCCTGACCTGGGATTAGAGATGTGCTGTGATGTGGGAACACTTTTCTGAGGGATGTAAATGTTCTGATCTTGATTTTAATGGTAGCAATGCAGGAGTGTGATTGGGTAAAAACAAACAAACAAAAAACAACCACAAAATCATGTATTCAAAATTCTTATAATTTATTCCATGTAAGTTATACCTCAATAAAGTTGATTACAAAAACAAAACAAACAAAATAGAAAAAAAAAAAAGTGACTACATGTGGATTTCTGATCAAGTGGCCCACCATGCAAATATCTGGACACCTTTTATTTCAAACATCAGAACAAACCCTGTGAACTTGTCAAAAGTCTCTTCTTTCTGACCATGGAAATGCTTGCAGCATGTGGGTCAACCAGAGCTGTTTGGGAACAGGGTTGCCTTGGAGAAAAGTCAATTGAGCAGCTTCTCATATCTACATGGGGTGCCACAATGCATGCGATCTGTTGTGTTGTGTTGGAGAATTTCTCTTAGGGAAGCGACCAGGTCTTCTGTTGCAATGGGATTATTTTACATGCGAGAGGCCTGCATGTGGCAGTAAGGACAAAGTCAGGGGCTTGTGAATTGCTACCAGAAGCCATTTGGAAGTTTGGATTCAGTGGGCCTACTGGATGGAGTAGGTAGGTGGAGAAGTTTGTGGGATCCCTCATGGGAGCCTGCCACATGGCCTTCTAAGTCTACAACAGAGTCTGCAAATGTTTATAACAGAGCTGGTGGCAGAGAAGGAAAAAAGAAGCTAGCAAAGAGCAAGAGTCGGATTACAGAGCCCACTCCCTGCAAATTAGCAGACAACATGCAAGGTTTGCCTGGGATGCATGTAAGGGGTGCATCTTCCTATGTAAATCTGCAGAACTCATTTGATTTTCTGGGTTACGCATTCATACAATATTATTTTTATAACATATAACTTTTTAAACATATCTCAATGTAACAAATGAGGAGAATAAAGCTCTACCAGGTCAGAGTTGAGAAAAGAGAAGGAACCACAAAGGTTGGCTGTCTGCCTGTTGAAATCCGCATACTGTTAGTGTGAATTTACTTTTTTATTGTGGATTGTGGGTAAATTCCAAAAGATCAGATATTTGTGTAAATATGTATCCTGAAGCCAAAGTTAGTTGAAGTGAGACTTTGTTTTGGAATAATCTATTATGCAGCACTCCACTCAAGGTGGTCAAAATTTAGGGATATAGTAAGTAAAAATGTCAAGTATTACTGTTAAAAGTTTACTGAATAATATTAGATTCATTGTTATAAAATTTTTAAACTAACACCATCTTGCTTTTATTTTTAATTTTCTTTAGATTTTTTTACTGTTAAATTCTTTTATGCTTCCTTTCTACATCCTAAGGGATAGCTGAGACCAATAGTTGGGGCCAGGAGAAAGAAAATCAGCCTTTTGTATAAGTAAGGAATTATTTCTATTACCCCATTAAATATAAGCTTTGCCTTCCTAGTTCACTATACTGCCAGACAAAGGAAAGTTTAATTCTGGCTTTTTCTTTTCTCTTTTCTCAATTTAGTGTTTGTCAAAATATTAAAGAACTATACTAATTTTTTTTCCTGAGAGAATAAATAACTTTGATTAGCCTATAGTGTTGGTCTAGTTGTGTGTTTTTATATATAGACTAGCAGGGGTCCTCAAACTTTTTAAAGTGGGGGCCAGATCACGGTCCCTCAGAGAGCTGGAGGGCCGGACTATATGAACTACTAATTCCTACTGTAACACCTCGGCTGCGCTCACTGCCCAAAAAACCTGGCGGGCCGGATCAGACTCCTCTGTGGGCCGCATGTGGCCTGCGGGCCGTAGTTTGAAGACGCCTGGACTAGAGGACTGATGCACAAAATTCATGCAAGAGTAGGCCTTCCTTCCCCTGGCTGCCAGGACCAGCTTCCCTCTGCCACTTAGGACCTGGGCTTTCTTCGTAGCCCGAGGTTTGTCCAGAAGGTCATCCAGAAGGATGTCTGGTCTAATTAGCATATCACACTTATATTATTATAGAGGCACATGCATGAAATTTATGCAGGAGGATGTGTGTGTGTGTGTGTGTGTGTGTGTGTGTGTGTGTGTGTGTCTCAGCCCACTCTCTGTGATCTGGGACTCCTCAAGGGATGTCCGACTGCATATTTAAACGTGCAGTCAGACATCTCTTTCACAGTCCAGGACTGCTGGCTCCCAACTGCTCCCCTGCCTGTCTGATTGCTCCTAACCACTTCTGCCTACAAGCCTAATCCCTCCTAACCACTTCCCTGCCAGCTTGATACAATAGATACCTTACTGCTCCCTTGCTGGTCTGATTTCCCATAACTGTCCTCCATGCTAGCCTGGTCAACCCTAACTGCCCTCTCCTGCAGGCCTATTCACCCCCAACTGCCCTCTCCTGCTGGCCTCATTGCCCCTAACTGTCCTCCCCTGCTGGCATGGTCCCCCCCCCCCCCCAACTGCCCTTCCCTGCAGGCTTGGTTGCCCCTAACTGCCCTCCTTGCCAGCCCAGTCCCTCCCAACTTCCCTCCCCTACTGAAATCTTGTGGCTCCCATCCTGAGTCCACATGTAGGTGGCCATCTTTGACCACATAGGGGCAGCCATTTTTGACCACATGGGGTTGGCTATCTTGTGTGTTGGAGTGATGGTCAATTTGCATATTACCTCTTTATTATATAGGATTAGGGTATGCAAATTGCTGAATGACTTTTAGAACATGTTTTCAATCTTTAAAATGAGGCTCATTGATTGGTATGTCATGGTTAGTAGGTTTTGATCAATACTTTAAAAAATGAAATGATAGAAAATATTAGTTTGTCACACATAGAAACCAAAATATTATTTTGTAAAAGAATATTGTTTGTGAAAGTTTTTCTTTATTTGTGCACATGCTTCTGTGTGTGTGTGTGTGTGTGTGTGTGTGTGTGTGTGTGTGCAGAGAGAGACAGAGTGAAAGACAGAGAGGGACACAGAGAAAACTGATGAAAAATTAAAACACATTCCTTGCCATGAGTTGGGAACAGCAAAAAATATTAGAGTTACAAAAGTATTTTAGAGGATGGCCTAGGAATTTGTGATAAACTGTTGGTTGCCAAAGGAGGAATGCAGGAGTTCAGAATGGCGAGGGAACACAAATTTATTCCATCTTCCGCACACCAGCTACCTGAGCCTGGATCACTCCAGCATCTAGTGAAGGGAGTCAGCTGCTTTTAAAGGACTTTGGGTGGGCTTTTTTTTCTGGGAGGCAGAGACTTCTTTATGCATACCGGGGGCAGGGGCGGGGGCGGGGGAGAGGGGAAGCTAATGGAATGTGGTCACTGCAAATGAAATGTGATCTTCAGCAAAGGGAATGTCCATAGTGAAACCTGAAACGCCAGTTTCTGGGGGAGGGGTATCCATTCAATCGCTGGATCAAACCTAACAATAACTGAGATAATTGAGCATCCTTCCTAGGAAGGATTAGGTAGGAAATGATTGTTTAGCTGAATTCTTTGATTAACAAATTTCATTACAATGGATTGACTAAGAATGTTAGGCCCACAGATAACTCTTGTGTCTTTTTCTGAAGTTATTATTAAACATTTATTAAATACTTTGCTTAGACAGCACACTTTAAGACATTACAACAATATACTTTTAGGATATTTCAACAATCAAAATAACATTGAACCTCTGTAGTTCATATTTTGATGAAATATAAATGTTCCCACCATTGGTTTCTTATTTTTTATTCCCTTTACCTGGAATGTTCTGCTTCCAGCTGGTCATATGAAGAAGTACTTTGTAAAATACAGACATCGTCTTTAATATCTCCTGAGAGAAGGGGTTCCGGAACCACCAGAGAGCTAGAACACCTGCTTTCAGTATGCTGTAATATGTTTTTCTTTATAATTTTATCAGCACCTTAAATTATCTTGTGTAATAAAGATATTAGTTACTTTCATTATTTTCCACTCCACTCAATCTAAAGTGCCTCCATCCATTTGTCCAGAATGTAAACATCCTGAGATCAGGGTCCTCGCCTGTCCTTGTCCACGTCAGAAAGTGTCTGACACATACGTATTTGTTGACTCGTGACTGATTGAACTTCAGAAATGATGACAAACTGCCTATTGCTCTATAAAAACTTTCTAAAAGTTGGAAGTCAGGATGGCTGCAGCAATATAACATTGATAAGGTGTCCAACACCCCCCTCACCCCCCGCGGCTCTGTTCTGACTTAGGCCTTATCTGTTTATTTTATATTTACTCTGAGTAGGAGTGTTCAGATTGCAAATCTTGAATGACTTCAGAAATAATCGAGAAAAAAAAAGTTTATTTCCAACCCTGACCAGCAATCACATTTAAAACTGGAATCAACAGCAACTATCATGAAGGCAGTTAAAAACACGTGGAGTTTGCAAGTGAGGTGGATACTTTAGACCACCACTGTGTGTCCATCGGCTGTTTTAGGGCTCAATAGCCACTCTCAGTGCATTAAAATCTATTGTATGTATTATTGAGTTATTTTTTAAGAGTACAAATTAGGATGAGTGGAGAATTACTATTTATATTATAAACTTGGAAACTAACATACCTGTCTAAGTCAACTTATTGAATAGATAATAAGTGTATACAAAGCATGCCTTTGAGCTAAGAAGTGGACCCTATATTAAGGATAAATACTTAAAAAGTAATATTATTTGGGCATAATTTTGCCTCTATGTATAATTAAATTTAGTCTTTAAAATTCAGGGAGATACAACATTTAATATGTTAAATGATATTTTAATATAATAGGAGTATGGAGACTACGTTGGCTTTATATCTTCCTACCTAATATATTATTGAATTGTGGATCCATTATTTAAAATATTTGTCATTTTAAAAATAAAATACTTCAATTATTTGGTATGAAGATACTTTACATCCATTTAATACCAAGATATAATTAATAACTTTCAAGTTGAAATTTGGTTTATTTATATACTTCCCCCTCTAGATTCTCATCAAGTGCTACCCATGTTTATGTTATAACAGATGCATGAAACACCAAAGAGGAAATATGTCAAATCAAGTTGTTTATTATTTGATCTTGAAGATGATCCAGGGAAGCAAATGTCCAATGTTTAAATTCTGAGGCCTAAAATAAATATGTCAGAAAGTCTCTCATCTTTTGTTGATTGCTGAGATATACCATGGAATCTCACTTCCTCACTACTTAATGCACAGTTAAGAAATATAGAATTCCTTGAAAAAAATTGCCTTGTTTGACAAAGTGGAAGATCTGTCGAAATAGGCATTTACAAAGCAGATTGTGCTCACTTTTAGTATTGGAACAATACAGAGGAGATCAGCATGGCCCCAGTGCCAGGATGACTCACAAATTTGTGAAGCATTCCATATTTTCAGGAATATATAAAAGTTGTCAAGAGGGTAGGTCCTAAGGTCTCTCTTCTTAAAAAATATATATATTTGTATTGTTATGAGATGACTGATATTAACTTGTGATAAAAGTTTCATAATATAAGTAGGTCAAATCATTATGCTATATACCTTAAACATATACAGTGCTGTATATCAATTATATCTCAATAAAACTGGTAAAACAGATTGATTATATTTCAAAAGCATCACTTTTGAACAGTAGTAATTATAATATTAGCAACAAAACAATGTTAATCTATTTTATTGAATACTGAGTTAGTGTCATATTCTGACCCAGGTACTTTCTCAAAAAACATCTCTAGAAAGCAATTAAATCAGTTATACTTCTTTCCAATTTATAGCCATTGAAACTGATGTCTTTTTTAATTAATCACATAAGGCATACTAAAATTGTATGATTATCAGATAAACAACTTTGTTTCCAAAATGGACTGGTAAATACATTATGTGCTTGGGAATGAAAATACTCCTTCTATTACTGGTGCAAAAATATGATTTTGGTTAAAGATTGATGGATAAATAATTGATTGATTGATTGGCTCCCTATGACAACCCTATTTACCATAAATTTCAAATGTATTTTCAAGAATGGTTCAGTTTTTAAAAGTTTTAAAATGTTGGTAAGAAGGAATGGTCCTGATAAATTCATTGTCTTACTCTGCTAAAACATGACAAAAGTTAAAACACAATTTAAAATATTTTAAGAGAATCATCTTTTGTTTTTTGACTCCATTATGTCCACTTTAATTTCCTTCAGACAGCATAGAATGAGGTCGTTAAAGGGATTCTATAAGGATGTCTGTGACAAAATGCTATTTCTAAGGGACATTCAACAACTGTTTGTAGCTTATTCTCACAAGGATCACACTCTACAAATCTAAAGCCACTGTCAAATTACCCTAATTCTCTATTCTCATCTATTTATGTTTGTAAAACTCTAATACGCAAATAGACCAAATGGCAGAACAACCTAACAACTGAACACCTGGTCGCTATGTCGTGCGCTGACCACCAGGGGGCATGCGCAGGACATGACGGGCATTGGCTGCAGTGGGTTGGTGGAGCAGGTGAACGGGGATGCTAGACCAAGGTGGGACGTCCGTTACTGTCATTGGGGAGAGCCTCTAGTGATTATTGAAATTTTTTTGCTCCTGCACACCGTGGTCCTGCCCGCCACTCGCACCCAATTGCTCAGCTCCATCAGTGGGTGCAAGCGAAGGTTGCTGACCCTGATTGTCCCTGAGAGCTTCTTCACCTCACCCTGCTCCTGAAGGGCAATTGGGGCAGCAGCTGCTGCTCGGACCAGCTGACAGCACTGGCCAGGCTGCTCATGCCAGCCCCAATCGCTCTGTGCTGTCCGCGGGTGTGAGCAGGGCCGGTGCCCTCAGTGCGTGGGGGCAGCAGTGGTGGTATTGGGGCTGCTGGCAGGCAGGGGATGGGTTGTGG